CACACACACACACACACACACACACACACACACACACACACACACACACATTGCTGTGACAGAACTTTCCTCCACAATGTCACAACCTCATATTTTACACATTTATTGTAAATGTAACACCTGTGTATAGTCTCAGGCAAAATTGCTTTACATTAAACGAGAACAGCCCCATGTCTCTTTGATGTTCTGTTGCAGAGATATGACTGTGTCAAGTTGTTATGCGGTTGCTAGTCTGCTCTGAATGGTTGCTAGAGCGTAGCTATGCAGTTGCCATGGTAATACTGGCTACTTGCTGACTTGAGTGAACAGAGTGAAATCTAGTCTCTATAACACTGTGATCTGAAGATATCACTCTGAACGGGTATCCATACATATTAAATTAGATTCAATTAATACATTTTCTTTTGCTAAATTTGTGCCAGGAGCCTGTTGAGGTGCATACCAATCAGCCAAATGACTTCAAGATTAAAGCTCTGTTCTCAGTGGTCTTATGTGAAACATTTTGGAACAAATGTCTGTAGCAAATCTGTTGGGAAGAACAATTCCAGAAACAAGTCTGAATACTTGCAAGGCAGTGCATGGTATATGTAAGAAAACAATAATGAAACAAAAATGACTTCATGATCATGTTATCTCTCTTTTTTTATTCTCCATCCAAACCACAACCTGCAATCCTTCACCAGTGCGGCTGCATGACAGCATCTCAGAGGAAGGTCACCATTACCTCATCTTTGACTTGTAAGTTTCTCTGACCAACCATAGCAGATAAAATTATTTTATACTATAATATAGTACAAAACATAAATCCAAATGCTGCTGTAGGTTAACAAAGGCCCAAGAGTGTGAAAAACATGATTTGTTTTCAGAAATGGATAAATACCTTTGCGTTCCTCTGCTAATTTCAGGTTTTGTGGGGGAAATGGTAATAAAGGGTAATCTTTTGCTATAGCGCAGGGTGGATACAATAGATATCTGTCTTCATATTGAAATAATTACAGTACCTACTGTATGACACCTTCATAAAACCATTGTCTTCTTAAAATTGCTTGAGGTTGAAAAGAAGTACAAGGGTGTTTCTTCAACTTCAAGCATTTCAGTCTCCCAGGGATTATTATTAGAAGTAACAGATTTCAGCTTGCGTCCTTGTTACAGTTTAATTACATATAAGTACTGAGTAATATTAATTAACAAGTAGTTACTATACTGTAAGTATCTTGGAATAACATAATTTAGTGTTAATGCTATAGCAAATGCATGTAATATATGTAACAAGGAAACAGTAAAATAAAGTTTTAATCACAATCACATTAAAACTGCTTTGGAAATGTTTCACCACGTTGGCTTGACAAAGCCAGAATTCTGATTTTGTATTTATTATGCATATGCTACTTCTTCTTCTGACACTAAAACTCAGCATAGACATTCAGGTTGTTTTGACCCAGTATCTTGTCTCACTCATTTGAATTTTGGTTTTCCTAAAACATTCAAAACTCCTCAAAAATCCATATAGACTTACATTATAGCAACCACAACGAAGATCCTTGTAACTGCTAAGCTGCTCCCTCACTTCCCATCCTAATTATTTTGAAAGTTAAGGCATCATTGAACTCTATTTACTTTCATTGTATGGATAAAAAAATACAATGAGACATTAATGCATTAACAAATGTAATGATTTTAGTGAAAATGCCACCTATTAGTCAAAAATAGCAATAATTATTGCATGTAATTTGGGATCAGTAATATTTAAGATCTGTAATGTTGTTGTTGTTGTTGTTTTTTTTTAAGTCTCTTATTCTCATCAAGGGTGCATTATTTGATCAAAAATACAGAAAAAACAGTAATATTGTGAAATAGTATTGCAATTTGAAATAATGTTTTTCTATTTGAATATACTTTAAAATAGAATTTATTTCTGTGATGCACAGCTGAATTTTCATCAGCCAGTACTCCATTCAAATCTATCCTAACAATATAAGTATTTACTTTCACTTTTTATCAATCCTTTAAAAAAAGGTTTAAATACTGACCTCAAACTCAAACAGCACAACTGTTTCCAACATTGATAATAAATCAGCATAGAGTGATTTCTGAAGGATCATGAGACACTGAAGACTAGAGTAATGATGCTGAAAATTCAGCTTTGCATCACAAGAATAAATACAATTTTAAAGTATATTAAAATAGAAAACCATTATTTTAAATTATAATAATATTTTATAATATTTCAGTTTTTTTCTGTATTTTTTATCAAAGAAATGCAGCCTTTATTCTTTAAAAACCATTACAATTATATACTGTATGTAAAAATTACTTATATGTGACCTTGGACCACAAAACCAGTCATAAGGATCAATTTTTCGAAATTTTTGAACCGAGATATTATATTTGGCCGAGATACACCTATTTGAAAATCTGGAATCTGAGGGTGCAAAAAAATCTAAATATTGAGAAAATTGCCTTTAAAGTTGTCCAAATGAATTCTTAGCAATGCATATTACTAATCAAAAATTAAGTTTTAAAAAAAGGAAATGTACCAAATATCTTCATGAAACATCATCTTTACTTAATATCCTAATGATTTTTGGCATAAAAGAAAAATCTATCATTTTGACCCACACAATGTATTGTTGGCTATTGCTTCAAATATACCCCAGCGACTTAAGACGTGCTCCAGGGTCACATATGCAATCTTATTTTATCCACTGGTGTGCTTGGCCCCATAATTGCTACAGTATATGATTTATTTATTTCTGTACTGTGCAGTTGTTTCTCTTCCAAAGTTTTAGGGAGGCACATCCCCTGCCTCCTCAGAGAAAACACCCCTGGTATACACTGCTGGAAATTATTAGGAGACCATTTAAGCCAACTATTCAAAAGGGAAAAAGGGAAAAGTTCACTGATCCAGAAGTTCCTACATTTGAAGAAACACCCATAAAACAACTGTCTTAAGTCAAATAATACTTTAATTAGTGGCATTACTTGCTCATTCTTGCTCATTTATGTGGTTCAGAGTAACGGGTGGTGAGCTGTTTGAAGACATTGTTGCCAGGGAATATTACAGTGAAGCAGATGCCAGGTGGGTGGGCAATCAGCACAACACAAATGGACTGTATGTATAAAAGCATTACACAAATAATGGATAAATACATAAAAGCACACTAACTTAAGTAGTCAAAAGTTAAGTCTCTTTGCCTTGACAAGAGCCACATAGCTCACAAATTTGTCCAAAACTGTCATTTTCAACACTTCATAACATTAATTTAGTGATGCAGAATATAGCTTTTTATTATTCTACAACAAGCAAAAGAAATAAAATTGACTGTGTACAACTGACATATATACTGTATATACATCACATAGTCATGTGTTGAAATCCTATCATATTCCAATGTACTGTATTTGAGTAAAACCTTTTCTCTCTCTTTCTCTCTCTCTCTGAAGCCATTGCATCCAGCAGATTTTGGAGGCAGTACTTCATTGCCATCAGATGGGTGTTGTGCACAGAGACTTAAAGGTATTTCATTATAATTCATGTTAAACCTCTGTCATTAGCACTCTCATCTCTTTGTGGCCCCCAGACAGAACACTTGCTTCAAAACAATCTCAAACTTTCAGTTATAATTACACCACAAACGTATCATAAAAATATATTATGCAATGCTGAGACATCCAATATTTCAAATGCACACAACTTGACCTAGTGAGGAGTGCACTAGGCTCTAGGTTATTTTGTTTAACTAATAGATTACTTCTTTAAAACCTTCTCTGCCTTAAATGTTTTAGCCTATTTCACATATACTGTGTGAGCAGCACATTATCATTTTGGTGTCCTTATTAACAGGTTACTACATTCACACTGGTAGTGAGAGCCACAAGCAGAGTTTTGGCGTTTTGGCATATATATATATATAGTCAACTCTGAATGTAGAATGAAGCAGCCACACACACAAGGTTTTTTTTAATGAAAAGTGGTTAAAAAACTATTACTTATATGTATGTGCAATGCAGTACAATATGATTGTAGTACTAATACAATTTATTATAACCTTGGATCAAATCAGTCTCTGAACAGTTTGAATTGACACTGCAGAATCTTGTAAAAAAAAGGATTCTGGGTTGCTCATACAGTATGTAAATCACCTGTATGTTCTCTAGTCAAATTAACCTTTATTTATAAAGTGCTTTCTAAAACACAAGAGGTTATCTGTAGTTAGTGTAAAAAAGGTCAGCACAGGTAGTTTTGTGGTATTTGTTAACAGCCTCAAAGAAACATTTTGCCCAAGCTGCTCAAGTACAGAGCATTTCAGTAGTTCAGATAGGATGACATGAAAGCATGGGTAATTTTCTCAAAATCGTTAAAAGCGAGGACAGATTTCAGGTTTGGGACATTTGGAAATTGAAAAATTTTAGAGACCCAAATCAAAAATGACACCCATATTTTTAACATTGGAATGCTTATTACCACTGCAGAGACTCAAAACAGAAACATCAGTGTTACCACATCCATTCTGACCAAAAAGAACAAAAGAAATTTAGCTGGAAGAAAGTTATTCGCTAACCAACATTTAGCATCAGCCAAAATGTTATGAAGGGATTAAAAAAATTATTTTTAATAATAATTGTCTCAAATGAGAGAATATATAAAGACAATACAACCGGTCGGTCCTAAGACCGAGCCTTGGGGCACCCCACATCTGATGTGGACAGGTGATGATAAGCAATTCTTCATTCTAAGTAATTAATTATATTTAATAATAATTTAAGCATTTAGCAGATGCATTTATCCAAAGCAACTTACAGTGCATTCAGGCTATACATTTTTTACCAGTATGTGTGTTTCCTGGGAATCAAACCCACATCCTTTTGCGCTGCTAACACAATGCTCTACCACTGAGCCACAGGAACATCAATTGAATATAAGTTATATGCTCTAAATAATAGGGGAACCACTTAGGACCAAGCTCTTAATGCCAATGCACTGCCTGAAATGTACAATTAAGATAACATAATTAATAGTATCGAAAAAGCTGCATCTAATAATGTCTAATAACATTGAGGCAACACAATTTACAGAATTAACCCCAAGAGAATATAAAGACATGGCACTACCATACTTATAATTGAAACAGTCCAGTTTGCATAAGTTTAGATCTGGTTTGAATAATGTTTTAAAAATGTTCTACTAGTTTGCACTTGATTATACAAACTTGTGCGCTGATTCTAATTTTAAGTATTTGATGTGAAAGTGCTAATATTTTCCACACAAGTAATGGGTGTATCTATTTAGGTGAGGGGTACAAATATTTTCAAAATGTATATTCCAATTGGCTTTTGAACAAATAACTTTAGTGAAATACCACTCCAATATTTGTATGTTCTTATATGTTGGAGAAAAAAACAACTACATGTTCATTAGCACTTTATCCATGAATCTTTCCCCCTTTTTGTCCCATTCGTTTCCATGTTTCTAGCCAGAGAACCTGCTTCTGGCTTCCAAATCCAAAGGTGCAGCTGTGAAGTTAGCAGACTTCGGCCTTGCCATTGAGGTTGAAGGGGAACAACAGGCTTGGTTTGGTAACGACCCATTTATTATACCACCAAACAGCATTAATGTAGAATTGCACAAAACATAGATTAACACTCCAAAGATGTATTTATACAGTATAATATTAACGGTCACACTTAAGTTTGGGGACCAGTTCTCACTATTAACTATGACTTTTGCCTCAATAGACTCTTGTTAAATTAGGTATGGGGTAGGATTAAGGGATCTAAAATATGCGTATTAATATGCACTTTATAAGTACTAATAATCAGCCAATATGCTAGTAATATGCATGCTAATACGCAAATAGTTAATAGTGAGAATTGGTTCCTAAAGTGTTACAGTATTAAGTATATGAAATGCAGTGCCATTCCTTTTCACTTTTAAATGATTTTTAATAGCTGCACCTGTTTATGGTTCTGATTTGAATCTTTATGCATTTTACACACACACACACACACACAACCATATGAATTTATGTTCTCTTTCATATGAGTCACTTCAGTGCTGCGTCATTAGCTGGTGGTATACGTGAACTTAATCTCTGCCCCTCTGGATGTATGTTTTGATGTGCATATCATTGGGCCTTACCGCCATGTTGTTCAGATTTCAGTGGATTTCAACACGCCTCAAACATAATGGAGACAAAACATCCCTCATGTAATATATGCTTAATTGACTTCACCTTAATTACATTGCATGTTCTGAATCAGATCTACAGAACTACCTAAGTAGTCTTCATTTGATACTTTTTACTGTTACTCAAGTAATTACTATCATCATTATTTTTTCTTCTACTTGAGTAATTCTTTCTAATAAGTACTTGTACTTTCATTTGAGTCCAGTAGTTGGTCACTCTACACACCTCTGCGCACAACAAGACCCCTAATTTTATGTGGCTCAGAAACATTTGCCTGAAAGTGAGGCATTACATTACATAATTCAGAGACAGGGCGCTTTTTTATCAAGAGGAGGTTTCCTTGTTGATAGGCTGAGTGGCCTGTGTGATAGTTGCTTGTGTATGTTACCTGGCTGGAAGAGTGTGTATATGCAATATGTATGCAATTCTCAATTATTTAAATAAAATGACAGTCTTTGATGTTGTCTGATGATACCCTCACTGCTGGCCACTTTATTAGGTATGCCTTTTTATTACTGGGTTGGACACTCTTTTGCCTTCAGAACTAGCATACAGTAGATTCAACATGGTTCTGGAAACACTCCTCAGATATTTTGATCCATATTGACATACTGACATCACGCAGTTGCTGCAGATTTGTCGGTTGCTCCTCCATGATGTGAATCTCCAGTTCAACCACATCCCAGAGGTGCTCTATTGGATTGAGATCTGGTGACTCTGGAGGCCATTTGAATTTATTGAGCTCACTGTAAAGTTTGAGCTTTGTGACATGGCACGTTATCCTGCTGGAAGTAGCTATTACAAGATGGTTATGCTGTGGTCATAAAGCGATGGACATGGTCAGCAGCAATACTCAGGTAGGCTATGGCATTTAAACAATGCACATTTGGTATGAAGGGGCCAAAATTGTGCCAAGAAAATATCCCTCACACCATTACACCAGAACCAGCAGCCTGAACCGTTGATGCAAGACAGGATGGATCCATGCTTTCATGTTGTTTCAAATCTGACCCATCTGAATGTCACTGCAGAAATCAAGACTCATTAGACCTGGCAACCTTTTTCCAATCTTCTATTGTGCCGTTTTGGTGAGCCCATGTGAATTGTAGCTTGAGTTTTCAGTTCTTAGCTGACAGGAGTGGCACCCGGTGTGTTCTTCATGCTGTTGAAGCCCATCTGCTTCGAGGTTTGACGTGTTGTGTGTTCAGAGATGCTCTTCTTTATACCTTTTTTTTGAGTTACTGTTGTCTTTCTATCAGCTCAAACCAGTCTGGCCATTCTCCTCTGACCTCTGGCATCAACAAGGCATTTTTGCCCACAGTACTGCTGCTTACTGGATATTTTCTCTTTTTCAGACTATTCTCTGTAGATCCTAGAGATGGTTTACATGTCAAACTCCCAGTAGATCAGCAGTTTCTGACCAACCCGTCTGGCACCAAAAATCATGCCACGTTCAAAGTCACTTAAATGAACTTTCTTCCTCATTCTGATGTTCGGTTTGAACTTCAGCAGATTGTTTTTCTATGTCTACACACCTAAATGCATTGAGTTTCTGCCATGTGATTGGCTGATGAGATATTTGCATTAACAAGCTGTTGAACAGGTGAACCTAATAAAGTGCCCAGTGAGTGTATATCACACTCATGATATTGCTGTCTAGTACAAAAAAACCTTACACTGTTTAAACAATCTAAGTTTGAATGTAAAGTGTGTGAGATTTATTTGATTAATTACATTAACTGCCATTAATTTACTTGCTAGATTATGAAAGTAAAATCTTGTACAGTAGTGATACTATGTATTATATGTAGCTAGTGTTATGCTGCAGTGCTCAGTATTTTAAATAATGTTGTTTTGTGATGATTTTATATTATTTTTTTATATATAAACACATTAAATAATCATCAGCAAATGCCAGGCAATTTTTCTACATTTTTTTAACTGAACCGCTTTAACACCATAAAGTCACTCCCCCTGTGTCTCTGGCTCAAGAAAGATAAATTTGCTCAAAGCTGATTGATCAGATCATTTCAGTCATTTCATTCTGTGATCTCTAACCCTGATCAAAACCATCTCCAGACCAGGTATTGATTTCATGGAGTCCTTAAGAGTGACTGGAGACTTAAGTTGTTCTTATTCTAGTGTATCTGTGAATTCTGTTATTTAAGTACAGACGTATTTATCACATTTTATTTGTCTTTTTTCACATTAAGCTAATTTTCAATGTCATAAATATAGACTCAAATAAAAGTTATGATTTTTTCCCCTTCACATCAGGGTTTGCTGGCACTCCTGGTTACCTGTCCCCAGAAGTCTTACGGAAGGACCCCTATGGAAAAGCTGTAGACCTGTGGGCATGTGGTTAGTTTTTTCATATTTTTGCGTTAAACATTGATATGTGGTTAATGTCGTATGTGTTTTAAGGTAGAATTACATCACAAATGTGATCACTAATGCACTCGTCATGAAGATCCACTCTTTCATTTTGTGTAGCAACAGTATGCACTGTGACATTATAGAGAAAAGGGTTTTCCCAATTTGTGATGACAGTTTGAGGAGGTCTTTTTGTGTTCTGGGATGACAAAAGCCTTGTGCACAAAGTGAGATCCATTAAGAAATGGTTTACTGAGTCTGGTGTGGAACACATTTTGCCATCATCAAGCCAAGCCACATCAACCCAACATCAGTGCCTTGATGCTCTTCTGTCTAAATGGGAGCAAATCTCTGCAGTCAGTATTTAGAAGAGCAGAATGGAAGAACCAGCACTCTATTAATGCACATGCTAAATGCAGGGTTGCCAGCTCCCAGAAACATTTCCAGCCCAAAGCTGACTCAAAACTCACCCAAAAGGAATAAAAACGTGCCCAGTTTTTTCCTCTACAGCTGTGAAATAAATGTTTTCATTTGTTTTATTCTATGTTCTGTATTTCAAAGATCAATACATTTTAGTAAAATTATCTATTTTCTACATACGTTTACAGATAAATGTTTGAGCAGCCGTGGTACATTGTAAAAGTAGCCCAAAATCACAACCTATATAGCTCTGTAATCCTTCCCGCGAATGCATTTTCAAAATACAGAAAAACCACAACTGCACAATTGAGACACATAGTCAAATAAATAAATAAGTAAATGCATAATAATAATAATAAAAGTTATAGCACTCCTTGTTCTTCCCTTAGCTTGCACAATGGCACCAGTATTAGTATTTCAAAGATCAATACATTTTAGTAAAATGATCTATTTTCTACATACGTTTACAGATAAATGTTTGAGCAGCCGTGGTACATTGTAAAAGTAGCCCAAAATCACAACCTATATAGCTCTGTAATCCTTCCCGCGAATGCATTTTCAAAATACAGAAAAACCACAACTGCACAATTGAGACACATAGTCAAATAAATAAATAAGTAAATGCATAATAATAATAAAAGTTATAGCACTCCTTGTTCTTCCCTTAGCTTGCACAATGGCACCAGTATTGCACAGATCAAATTTGTTAATTCGTTAAGCGTATTGTGAAATAATTTCTCCTAACTTCATTTCCCTTAGGTGTGATTCTCTACATCCTGCTGGTTGGATACCCACCCTTTTGGGATGAAGACCAGCATAGACTCTATCAGCAAATTAAAGCTGGCGCCTACGATGTCAGTTTATGCATCCTTAATATAATATTGATGACAATGCCAGAAGTGCTAATGGATGTCTGATTCACACTTGGACCACTTTGTTACACCCACAGTTTCCTTCACCCGAGTGGGACACAGTCACCCCTGAGGCGAAAGATCTTATTAATAAGATGCTGACCATCAACCCATCTAAACGCATCACTGCTGCGGAGGCACTCAAGCACCCATGGATCTCAGTGAGTTCACAAACGAAACGCCATTTCTGTCCTTCCATCAGTACTTTACAACATACATACGTGTTTGATCTTAGGGCCTAGTTAATATATTATTGCTTTGTATTATATGTACATTTGAATTCAGTTAATTTAGTCAGCAAATGAATGAACCCTAGTTGTTGTTATAATTATCTTTATAGTTACTGTAGCATTCATTGTGTGTTAACAGGTCTTTACTGTACACATTAATTTGCTCTGCTCATGTTTCACTATACTTGAGTAAATATTTCTCAAATTTCTCAAAGTTATTTTATTATATAGAGATTACATGTTCTGGAAATGTCTGCATAACTAATGTTCTCCAAATAACCTCTCGTTTCACCTCTTTTAGCATCGCTCCACTGTTGCGTCTTGCATGCACAGACAGGAGACTGTCGAATGCTTGAAGAAGTTCAACGCTAGAAGAAAGCTCAAGGTAAGTTTGTATACAGTTGCGAGAAGCTCTTCTGTGAGTTGCATTTAAAGTTCTGGGCTGGTAACTTAAAGGTTGCAGGTCAATACACTATTACTAAGAAATATTTGCTAAAAGATCCTCTGTTTTTTTGTTGTTGTTTTTTTTTTAAAGGGTGCTATTCTCACTACTATGCTGGTCACCAGAAACTTCTCAGGTAACTCTAATAATCTATCTAATCTAATCTGCTTGAGTACAGTATGTCTTGATCAGGAACCACAGATTATCTTACACTGGAATTGTATGGATTCACGGTGCACTTATACAGAGGCTTGATGTTTCTGTGAAGTTGTGTTTGACACCTTCTACTGAAAGATAGTTGATGCTTATAAGTCTGGCATTTGCAAGCATTTGGAAATTTGATAAAACAAATTCAAAGTATTGGCACATCTATCCAAGCCATGCCATCCTACCCAATTTAGCTTAAGAAGGGTTGGGCAAAATAATGTAAATGCACATTAAACACTGGCAAACAGGTATATGGCGGGCAAAACACAAGAATAGTCACCGGGCTAGCGTAGGTCACCGAACAGCAGACAGAGTCACAGGGGCAAGGCTAAAGGGAGGAATCCAGGAAAACAGGCGAAGATCAAAACCGGAGAAAACAGACAGGACAGGGCAAGGCAAAAACTAGGAAAACACGGAGACTCGGAAAGGGGTACAGGCTAAACAATACTCAGCAGAGAAATGTGGTTAGAGTGGGTGTTATATAGTGAGTGATGTGATTAGAAACACCTGTGTGCAATCAGAGCAATCAGGTGTGTGCAATTTGTGCTGAGTGCAATCAGTGAAATGCATGATGGGAAATGTAGTCCGGGGTGATGTGCAACAGTGTGTAGCGCGAGAGTCAATGAAATTAGAAGTTCATGGACCGGATTCGTGACAGACACACTTCACTTTAATAAATTATGGGTGAAAATCAGGCTATTTGGAGTTCTTAACAATCACAGTTGTACACCGTTCTGAACTGAATCAAGAATGCCTTTTGAATTCTAATTCTGTTCCAGAATGTGAACAGAAGTAGCAAACGAGATGCAGAATTGCAATTCGAATTTGATTGTTTGGAGTAAAAGTAGACATTTATTTATGAATTAATTTCTAATTAGAAAAGACAAACTTTGAATGTTAGTTTGATAAATGTTTGTTTGAAAAAGATAAATAAAAGAGGTCAAATAAAGTTTAAAGACCTTAAGGACAGATAAAAATGTCATCTAAAGAAATTTCACCGTATTTATTAGAGAAATAAAACATTTATGTACCAAGGTGGAAGAACACATAATTTTCCTGAATGAATTAAATATTTTTAATTGCAGTTCTTTTATTCCTCTTCCTGTCATTCCATTTAAATTTCCTGAGGTGTAGATTCAATTCAAATTCCAACTAATGAACTAAAAGGGAGCCAGTTCATCAATTCTGAATTTTGCATAGCAATACAGTATTACTAAGAAATATTTGCTAAAAGATCCTCTGTTTTTTTGTTGTTGTTTTTTTTTTAAAGGGTGCTATTCTCACTACTATGCTGGTCACCAGAAACTTCTCAGGTAACTCTAATAATCTATCTAATCTAATCTGCTTGAGTACAGTATGTCTTGATCAGGAACCACAGATTATCTTACACTGGAATTGTATGGATTCATGGTGCACTTGTACAGAGGCTTGATGTTTCTGTGAAATTGTGTTTGACACCTTCTACTGAAAGATGGTTGATGCTTATAAGTCTGGCATTTGCAAGCATTTGGAAATTTTATAAAACAAATTCAAAGTATTGGCACATCTATCCAAGCCATGTCATCCTACCCAATTTAGCTTAAGAAGGGTTGGGCAAAATAATGTAAATGCACATTATTGTAGGGATTAATATCATTTGTACACTGTAAAAAATGACTGTGAATTTAATGGTAAAAGACTGTAAAAATGCTACAGTAAAAACCTGTTAAATGGTTAACGGTAAATTCCCCTACTATATACGGTGAAAAACTGTATTGGACATTATATGTATTGGACATTAATTTTACGGTAGTATACCGTTTTTGGAAGTGAAAAAGACCGTATAATTTACAGTGAATAACCGTAAATTGACATTCCCAGAATTCCCTGCGTTAGATTTCAAATTTGATGTTTTTTGTGTTGAAATAACTATGTTTCGTCTTAATTTTTTCTTATCAGTTTTGTATATTAGGGTTGTGTGTTACACCTAATGTTGTTAAATGAATGTTTATTGCATTATTTCAGTTTCATGTGTGTTACCATGATGGTGTTTAGTGTTTGTGTGAATGACGCTGTGCACCTTCTATATATGTTATTATTTAAAAGCTGCTTGTGATGGGCTTTGGTTCATCATGTGACTTTCTCATCACCTCCTGCATTTGGCTGCACCTGCACTACCTGTTATAACCTTAACAGCCCAGTTGTTTGGTGTTTTAAGAACAACAGCCTTTAGGATTATGACTGCAGACAAAAAGCATGGCAAGACTTCATCAGCGAAGAACAATAGTGGGCGAAAACTGAAGTGAATGATCACAAGTTTTATTATATAAGCAGCTTACTGTGTAAACTCTGATTCGGCTAGAGAGAGATCAGTCTATCAGTGTATTACAAAGCTACAAAACAGAAAAAGGTTTCAGTACTTCAATAGGTTGGTATGTTAACATTATATCAGTTAAAGAAATTACGGTATTTAACAGTAAATTTAAGTTAAACCCGTAAAATCTAAAGCGTTGCTACCGTATTTATTTATATTACGGTAAAATTCCAGCAACCACAGCTGCCGGTTTTTTACCGTAAATTTTTTTTACAGTGTAGGCTATAATTGAAGACATGTTATGTTGTGAATTCAGCAGTTTAGTACAAGTCAGAATTTGTCAGAACAAATCACAGAAACCTGTTTAGCAGGAGCGTCTGTAACCTTAACAGCCCAGTTGTTTGGTGTTTTAAGAACAACAGTCTTTAGGATTATGACTGCAGACAAAAAGCATGGCAAGACTTCATCAGCGAAGAACAATAGTGGGCGAAAACTGAAGTGAATGATCACAAGTTTTATTATATAAGCACCTTACTGTGTAAACTCTGATTCGGCTAGAGAGAGATCAGTCAACCTTAATGTTAGTTTATTTCAATATGAGTGGTCGCAGCAGTTCCACAATGTGGGTCCATTGAACGTTCAGATATACGATCTTATTTTATTTTATTTTTATGTAGGCACCATGCATGTCAGGAGATCATGGATCCCTCCCTAACATTTTCGTCTCGTTTTTATTCGTTGACGAAAATGTCAATACATTTTCGTCATAGTTTTTGTAGGGAGGGACGATTTTGGAAGAGATTCATTCAGAACGAATCTGCTGCATAATTAGGAGGTTAGATGCATACATATGAACCATATGAACCAGCGGGGCATAAGCTAAAATACACTTGCTGCACGTCTCATAAAACATTCAAAAATGTCAATAAATCTGACGACGCAAGAGAGAACTCAATTCGGTCCGGTTTTCTGAGCGCAGACACTGAAGCATACACACACACAGAAAGTGTGTCTCACAGCGCGCGAGTACTCTTTCGCGTCACATGAACGGATAATTACACACAAAATGATGTTGAATTGTCCGTTTTGACGAGTATTCACATAAACACAGTTGATTATGTCTTAAGTTAACGTAAACAGTAGGGGGGACGTGTATCAGTACATTGCATCCATTGCAGCTGTGCATTCGGTTTTAAAGGGACAGCAGCCTAATTTAGTTGTTATTGAGTCATTGATGTTAATCAAACAACAACAGAAAGACAGAAAATCACTCCCTGCTCTTGACTGAAAAACTTTTGTAGCCCTAAAGATTAATCTAAATTTATTTATAGAAATAAAGAGGTCTGCTTGAAAGAATGAAGAATATGGTAAACAAGTTGCTATAAAGAATGCATAATTAGTCTATATAACCATTGGTATTTCATTAAAAAGAAGACCATGTTCTTGTTCTTTATGAGAAGTGGTTTTATTTAATTTTAACATAAAGGCATGTTGTGTGTCACCGCAGTTGAATCGGTGTCTATCATAATAAAACCTTAATTTCAAACCTATATAACGAGTTTGGAAATTTTAGAGAAATGCTTAATAAATGCATTACACTGTAACTAAAGCCATTCGATTTTAGCCGACTAAATTTACTGTAGATTTAGTCGACTAAAATCGTATGATATCCTACTCGTACTATATCTGCCATATCATAAGCAAGTCCTGTCCTCACTGGGCCTGCCTGTTGTCTCACAGCCCCATGCATCCACTTTGGACCTCCTCACGTTCTGTTGTGAAGGTAAACTGGCATGTTAAACGATTTCTGCCCTTAACTGCGACTGTGGCAGCTCTTATCTGCTGATAGCGATTTCGCTTGCTACTCAGTGCTTAAGGACTCATGTCGATCAGCCAGTCGGTGGCACTACAGTGAACAACACAACAATTTCAAATATTATATATTTAGTATGTCCTTTATAGGGTCAGTGGATATCTGGACCTCTGTGGATAGAGCCAATCCTTGATTAAATATTGTAATATTATATACTTTACAATATATGTTGAAAGTTTACGTCTGCAAGATATAATTTTTAAGTAAATCTTTAAATATTACTAGAAATAAAAATAAAACGTAACTTTTGTCTGTGAAATATTTGACCAGTTTTGTAAATCATTGGGATAATTTTGTAAAACCATAGCATCTTTGTCTTTGAGAATGGTTGCACAGCTTATAAAACATGGCAGCCATTTGCCAGTCAAATTTCAGCTGCTATTACACCGAATGAAATGGGGTTGACGTGTTTGACTTTTGACATGCAGGGGAAAAAAATCATTGGCGGCACCATCACATTTTAGATGCTTGTTAATGGTTTAATAAACCTCAAACACAAATATTTCATATGATTTAATAGATATCCTCATAATGAACAACTTTTTGAACAACTTTTTTCAAACCAAACAAAGGCTATATTGTAATAAGAAGTTTCATTTTTCCATCATTTAAAAATGACCTGCGCAAACGTACAGACGTGCAATAAATAAATCAAACATTATTAAATCTACATTGCGTAGAATCAAAGCAAGATAAACTCATAGTTTATTGAGCAAGAATATTTCTTATCAACTTTTGCAAGCTAGTCTGTCTCATTATCAGGAAGCTGTTTCTTTATCAAGGGCTAACTATTTTTCCAGT